GAGTTTTTGGGGGGGGTGTCTGAAGCCCCAGAGTGTGGGGTGGCAGGGGGTCTGCTGGTTTTGGGGGAACAGCTGTGATATTGGGTGGTTGGGAACGAGGGCGCTGGCATGGATCTGTCCCAGAGTGCTTTGGGTGAACGGGGGCCGAGGGCTTTTCTGCTAGGCTCTCTTTGGGCAGGGCAGGGGGATAGACGGTCTCTTTTTGGGGTGAAGGAACCTGCTTCAAGAGGATATGGAGGGAGCAGCCAGGGTTAAATGAAAAAAATGGACTTGGGTGGGGGAAGGGGGTCGGGGCTGGGATCGGCCTCTGGAAGAGCCATCAGCTCAAGGTGAGCCGGCTGCTGAGCTCGAAAAGGGAGAGGCTCCTGGTCTGGGCGCGGTAGGACAGAAACAGAACGGTACGCCCAGCTTGCGGGAAGTTTGGGCACGGATGAGGCCGGGCACCGGTCCGGGTGTTGGCTGCCCGAGGAGGAAAGAGTTGTGGGTGTTGGGCTGGGAGGGGCAGTTGAGACGTATGTGATGGGAGAGAACAAACTCCCAGTCATTCCCCCGCACCCCTGTGCCAGTCTAGTTCCTGACCAAGGGATCTGCTGTGGAGGGGGCTGGGCTGGGAGAGCCCTGCAAGGGGAAATGTCTGGTTCCCTTCCCTACCCCTCTGCCTGGTATCCCCCTAATCACTAAACACAGAGCCCCTGGGACTTGCTGACCCATCAAAGCGAAGGCTCTGTTCAGACATGAGAGAGCTCCTTGCTGCCTGCTCCTTGCCTTTGGGGGCAAGCTGCATTAGCAGGGTTTCTTCCTGTGCTCTGGACTGGGGAGCTGGGCCAGGAAGGGTGTGCTGCTAGGTGAGGCCTCCAGCCTGGGAACTTTCTCTGTACATCTAGACGTTTTTGTATAAAGCTTGACCGGCCCTTGCCAAGTCTGACGCTGCTTGTTCATAAGGTATCTATTGTGCTTTCTAGCTGCCTGGTGATGCTGCTAAATAAATGGCTGTCAGTTGACCATGTGCTCATTGTAACTCGCATAATGTGCAAACTGCCCAGCTCTAAAAACCCTGAGGTCCAATTCCCTGTGCATCTTATGCCCTCTCTGGAATGTGCCTATTAGCAATCCCTGTGAATCTGACTGGGTTGCAGAAATCCTTCCTACCATTTCTGCGGCCTGCAGCATGGAAATACATGCTCGCCGTGGACCAACTGCAGTTACAGCATCAGCAATCTTTTCGGTTCACTTGGCTTTGGCTGGATGTTGGGGTAATTCATGGCTGAGCTGAGTTTTTGGGCATCCTGAAACCGTGTCCTCGTGTTTGAATGCACTGGGGGACGCGTATTACTTGTGAGAGATGAGAGGGTGCATCTGAATGGGAGCTTGATTGAGAAAACTGTACCCTTTAAATTCTGCAGTTTTGAGCATGTGGCATTACGTTGATCATCTCCTCCAGTTAACTGAAGTCAGTGACTGCTAAGGTTGCACTAATATTAACAGTTAAAGTATTGTAGGTACAAAAATGCCCTCCTTTCCCAGCCTCATCTGATTTTTTTTTCTATAGGGAGGTTCACTGACCTGGGCAGGGTGCATCTTTCTTTCTCCCTCCATTCAAGCCAGGGATGACCTTGTCTCGATTTGTACAATAGGGCAGCACTTTGCTTGCGAGATTATGGGGAATATGCACCCTTTCCTTTGCCACAAATACGTGGAGAAACCCGACCTATGCAGATGTTGTATTCATATTGGCTGGTAGTTTGAAAACCGTGTGTTGTTTCAGGTTTGTTTTTAGGCAGGCAGTGGAGAATTCAAGTTAGAAATATGTTATTTTGTTTAATTACCTTAATTGCAGGCTATTTCAGACTGAACTAAGAATACTGGAACAGAATTTAAGGAGGTGGAGGAATTTTTAGACTCTGAATTGGCAGGAGAAGGAACTTTCAAAGGGAATATTTTGTTCCGATTGCAACAAGCGTGTATTCGTCAAAGCTGTAACGAGCCCATGCTGTTGAGCTTTCCGCATGGGGCTAAAATCAGGCCGAGGTTTAGAAGGATGTTTAAGAAATAGCCACCGCGCTGTTGCAACAGAGTCGCTTCACACTGGTAATGATTTTTCCACATTTCGGGGCATAGCTGTGGCCTGGAGATGGTGCATACGGCTCCCATGCCGATGCCTTGCTATTAAAAGGTGCAGCCCTCTCTCTGGTGTGGAATGGCAGTTCTGATCCGCCTGGAGCAACTCGCTTGGGACTCTACAGCGGTTTGGCACTATGAAGTGGCATCTCAGCTGACATCCTCCTAGGAGAGTCGTGCATGGCGTTTCAGAGTGCGTGTGTGATCTCTGCCTCCGCTCCTGTTTCCCCTCCCCTGTGCGGTGAAACCACTTGGGTGCGAAAAGCGGAGTCACCCTCTCAAAATAGGCTGGAGCTCTGCAGTCACCTGATGACTGCTTTATACTTGCATCTAAATTTGCTGCGGTAAGATGACTTGTTCTCTTAAAGGCCCCGGTGATGTTGGGCTTAGGACCGCTGTTCTTAGCTGAACTGGCTTCCGAGGCAGATGCAGCAAATCAGATAAGGCTCATTTCTGGCAAACTGGTGCTCAAGAAGTTGTGTTTTCAATCATATGCACTTCTTAGAAGTCTTTGAGCAGGTCCACACTGGCAAACACTTGTAATTACACCAGCATTGTTATGCTGGCACTGCCCTACTAACACAAACACAGTTAAGTGCTTATGATGGGGTATGAGCTGATGGGAGTAGGCCTTGCTGTACTTGTCTCTCTGCGTGCACTGGGGCTTTCACTGCTGGGGTTTTATTAGCAGTGAATTGCACCTAGCTGACGTAGTTGTAATGATGGTAACTGCAAACGAGCTTGCTGTTGAGATCCTTTTAAACCAAGTTCAGGCTTTATTTGCACACAGTTTTACAGCTTTTTCTGGAATTCCAAGCCCGTCTGCACAGTGAGCAAACTTCCTCAAGTGAAAAAGGCCTGGTCACTTCGGTCCTCTTTCTCCGGGCAGTGTCCGGGCACTGACTGCTTTTCTTGTGTAGTGTTGCCTGGTAAAAGAAGAGAGACTTGGCTTGGCTCTTATTTTGGCTGTTTAATTTGGGTCGTGTCTTCGGTGCTTCCAACATGCTGGAAGAAAATGTTGTAAGAGCTGTGGTGATGGATGGGTGGAATCAAAGCAAAATTTAGTAAGGCCAAGAGGCTGCGGGCAAGGGGAGAGAGGCTCAATGAGCTGTAGTTCTTCTAAGTAAATACCATTTCTCTTACTCCAACAGTTGAACCTTTCTATGCCATTCTTGTAACCCGCCCCAAAGGAAGGGGCTGATGATTTGCACATAAAGCATTGCATACGACTTTGGCTAGAGTACATATGGACTTCTGCTGGCCTGGTATGTTGCCCTGAAGGCTTTGAGGCCCTGAAAGTCTGGCAAGATGAGAGATGTCTACTGTTCATACGAGTTGCCAGAAGCTTACCTCACTTTAAGAGGTTGCAGAGACAACCCCAGTTGTCTTTCCTGCCTAGTGCAGGGGAGCTGGGGCTGATGATCTTGCAGGGTCCCTTCCAGCCCTTACAATCTATGAATCTATTTAAATGAAAGCATGCTCTTCCTTTTGTAACAGTATAGGGTAGATACTTCTTCTGAACGAGCTAAAATATCTCGGGGGCTGGGAGGGGTGGATGGACCATGCAAAGCTAAAGTAAGCTTGGAAAAGAACTTGTATTATTTCTGGGAAGATGAGAAATGTTGGAAATACGCTGGCTTTCCATTTGCTCTGAGCCTCTGGCTTCAACTTGGACTGAAAAGAGGCAGAAGGAATCTTGTGGCTTTCCTGGAGCCGGTTCTTATCCACCATCACGTAGCATATTTAGTGTTACTGGCCCTGGCCTAGCAGCAACACGCCGAGGTATCTCCGAGCTGGGTGGTGGGGGAAACAAAATCAGAGCACTGAAAACGGAGGTGAAATTGCAGGTTAGGAATTGGGTGTGTTGGCAGATGTGCCAGGGGCTGGGTGTACTGCTGTCATCATAGGAATGACGAGCGCCGCAAGATAAGGACAAGGGGAGTAGGAAGAGCTGAGTGGCAAGGGCAGGGCCAAGTCTAGGACAAGCTGAATGGCAAGGGTGGGGCCAAGTCATCCAATGCCCCTGGGACTGATGTATTTTGGTAGACTTCCTCTGCTGGGAGCTTGAAATAATGTTCGCTATCTGTCTGGAACTCACCCAAATTCTCTTATACTCCATGTGACCCATGCAGAATCCCAGAGAACTCATCATCGTTTTCCACTAATTAAACACTGAAAGGAGCATACCACTTCTGCACACGTGAAGCCCGCTCTATTGTAGCTGCATTTAGTCACTGGAACAAAGTTTGATTTGCTGTGAAGTAGCAGAGGATTGGATTGGATCCCGCTTTGTGGCTCCTCTGAAGCTCCTCGTCTGGACTGAGGTCTAACACGGGGAAAACTGACTTGGAGCCAAGCTTTTCAGCTCTGTGCTCCCTTGCTTTGCAGCCATCATGGTCAACAAGACATAATATTTAGACAGGGTCCAGGCATTTGTATGCTTCATTATAATCATAATGAAACTGTTTAGTCTTAATGGTGAATGTGTGTCAGGGCAGCGCTTGTATTGCTGTAATCTAGTGCAACTTCCTAGGGTGCACAAAGGGAAACTGAGCCTCACCTGAGGCCTCGGTGTTTGCTTAATGAAATGAATCCACTTGCAGGTAATGTTTAAATTGGCAGGCTAGCGGAAGGACAAAGGTCACTGACTCCAGAGTTGAACCAGGAGCTTCAAATTCCAGGCTGTTCAAAGGCTAATCTAGTAAAAGGTTGGTTCCTGCTTCTCTGTGTCCAGTCTTTGCTGTAACTTACTGGATCAGTACAGATTAAGCCTTTTAATCAGCGGCTTCACCAAGAACACCAAGCATAGCATCTGGTTTATTGAAACGCTTGCTGTGTTGGTTTTTAGGGGGGCTTTTTTTTTCTGCACAGTGCCTGGAAGAACAGATTCTACAGAGAAGCTGTATGGTTTTGGAGTGTTAATACTTGTATAACAGTTTTAAGCAAGAACTAAGCTGCCTTGGATGGGGCAAAGGTTTAGAAGCCAGGAAAGGCTCCCATCAGTATCTCACTATGTGGCTTGGGGAACAAGCTCTGCCCCAGACTTACCCATCCCTTCAAAATGGAGGTAATTCCTACCCCTGCAAACCCGCGTGATATTAATACTGAGTTAGCTTGCTTTTGGGTGGTTAAGCATTCATTCCTTTGGTTAAAGTAGTATGCAGGACACGCATCATATCAGAAGCTCGCTTTCATTTGGCATATGAGCAAATGGCAGAGGCCCTCCTTTTTGTCATACGTTGCTCTATGGCTTTGGCCAGTGTCTCCAGCTTCTCTGACAAGAGCAAGGCACAGAATCGGCACCCTCGAGTAGGATTTCACCTTGTCCCATACGAATGCTTGCAGCCGTTATTGGTTCATTTGTCATGTTCAGCCAGCCATCTTCCATTAATGTCAGTTCTTATACAGTCAGTTGTTTTTCTCCTCTCTCTACATCTGCAGTACCTAGTCGTGAGCCTGAATGCTTACATTTGGTGGGGGGGAAGTATACTGGGGGGGAGAATGCTCCAATCACTTCTTAACTTTGCCCTGCTGCAGCTTCAGTGAAGACATTTTTGCCACTTCCCATTCAAATTTAGGGCTTTGATTCCATAGAAAATGGAAAAGCATCACTGGCTTCCTTTTTGACACCAGGTTGTTGTTTTTTTTTTTTTTAAAGTTGATATTAGAGAGCTGCTGGAAGGTGGTTGGAGCTCTATTTCCATGTCCTTGTCTTGATCATGGCATATTAATTGCTCATTTGTGATAGCAATCAGCTGATCTGATACACATTGCCTTGGAAAGAAGAACCAACCACCTGTGGTCTTCGTGCATCTCAGTAACTACATCCCATTGATGAAATGGTTGGAATGTCCGTTGATGCTGGTGGGATGCTGTCTGCAAAATTCCCTAGTGTGGATAAAGCTGTCATGAAAATAAGATGAAAGCAGCCAATATAAAAACACAGGGTTGGATGCTTTGTCCACTTTACTAGAATTTTCTGGACCCTAGCAAGCAAATAGCTCAAATGGGGGGGGTGTGTGTGTGTGTGTGTGTGTGTGTGTGTGTGTGTGTTTAAGAAAAGTTTTGGCCTCTACAGGGTTTCTTCAAGAAAATTATAAGGGTTTTGCTGCTAGCCTTGTATTCCTTATCTTGA